CTCGTTTTCCTTGTCCCAGCGACGACGATGCATCCCCGATTGCGTCGGCGATGCAGTGCGATCCTCCCCGACCCCATCTACTCCTGCCCCATTCGGGCAGAGTCGATCCTCGAATCTCCTGGCCCTGATATCCGACGTTGCTAGAAAATCACATGTGAGAGTCGAAGCACGACAGGCGCCCTAGATCCCATCTCTCTGCGGCGTTTCTGAGGCCGGATCGACCCACAGGTGCCCCGAAACGCCGACAACGGACGAGCATGTTCAGCGTGCAAGAAGTTGCAGCCGCCGGGCAGGTCGAGGATGAAGAATAGATTGTCCAGAGCGTTCTGAAGCGCTCTAATTAGGAGGGTTCCGCAGTTCTCTGGACTTTGAACCGCCCACGGCGCTCGACACGTCTTCCAGTCCGCCAGCTCTCAGGGTCTCCGGGCGTGTCTTCCCCGGAGCTCTTCTTGATGGACCTGTTTTCCACCACCATAAGGTGTAGGGGGGAAGGAGGAGGAGGAGGAGGTGGAGGCGGAGGAAGAGGAGGAAGAGGAGGAAGAGGAGGAAGAGGAGGAGGAGGAGGAGGAGGACGACGAAGAAGAGGACGAAGAAGAAGGATATTAGCTATACTTAGAAGAAGAAGAATACTAATAATAATAATAATAATAGTAATAATAATAATAATAATAAGAAGAAGAAGAAGAAGAAGAGGAAGAAGAAGAGGAGGAGGAGGAGGAGCAGGACCCCCTTCCCCTCCTACTCGTGTGGTGGCGGCGGTGGAGCACGCGCCCACCACCCGTCCGCCCCGCCCCCGCCGCGAGCTCCCAGAGCGGTCGGGGGGACCCGCGTGCTTTCCCGCCCTCCCCGCCGTCGGCTGGAACGGCGCGGGCAAGACGGCCGTGGCGCAGCGCATCGCGGGCCGGACGGCTGGGGGGGGGAGGGGGCCTTTTCTGGGGAGCCCAGACTCGGGGGTGGCCAGACCTCCTACCCTGACACGTCGATTAAGGAATTGCCCGTTTTCGGTTCGCGAGAGGGCGTCGCGGCCGTCATTTTTGCGGGTCCAGGTCCGTCGGTTTCGGTCCCAGGCCGTTTTCACCAAGGGGAGGTCTACGAAAGGGAGGTTTGTCCACCGCCGAGGGAGGGGGCCTTTTTGGGGAGCCTGGACCCCCTCGGGCTGTGCAAAAGTCACGACGGGAGGTGCTTCGCTGCAGTCGGCCTGGACTAGTATGGGTCGACCCTGCCAGCCCAAGGGCACCCTTGTGTCCTGTGTCTCGCCACCTGCGCCTCCTACGCCTCCTACTTACATTCCTGTGGCAGTGTGGCCCTGGGAAGGGTCTTGTGTCCTCTCGCGTGTCCTGTCCAACCGAGTCCGACTGTATGTTCCGGCCTGTGTGGGGTGGACAGGCCTCCTACCCCGACGTGTCGATTAGCGAAGTGGCCGTTCTCGGTTCGCGAGAGGGCGTCGCGGCCGACACTTTTGCGGGACGACGGGGAGGAGGGCGATCTCGTCAAGCAGTGGCGAAGCGTCTTGGCGTTCCTATAGACCTACCAAGAAATATGGTTTCCACGAAGTGTTCTTGGAACACTACTGGCCGGGAGTGTCGTGTTCTAACTCACAGGGAATGTCCATTAAGATCACCGTTGTTGTTCTCGGAACATTTTGGGGTTCTAAGAAAATGTTAGTCTTATAGGAATGCCGGGACGGTCGGTCCCTGCTCAACTTTGGGAACCCATACCCCCGCGAGTTGTGAAAAAGCCACGACGGGAGGTGTTTCGCTGTGCTCGGCCTCCGGGGACCCTGGCCGGCCCTCGGGACCGTCAACGAAACGCAATGCAGGAGGAAACGCCTCTCCCGGGCAAAGGGTCGAGACCCTGGAGTAAAGTGCCGAGACCCTTGAGTACTCCAGATTTCGTAATAAAGGGAGGGGGGTCTCATGTCGGGGGGGTCTCTTCCAGGCTATCTTGGAGGGCCTGGGGGGGTCTGGGGACGATGTTTTGGAGGGTTCTCCCACGGGGGGGTCTGAAATGGCTTGTCTTGGAGGGTCCAGACCCCCTCCCTTTTATTACGAAATCTGGAGTAAAGTGCCGAGACCCTTGAGTAAAGGGTCGAGACCCTTGAGGGCCCACGTCGTGAAACAGTCCTGACGTCGGGGGCCTCGGGGCCGAACGCGGGGGGGGGGCGGGCGACGCCTGCTGCGCGCCGCCGCCCTCGCCTCCGCCGCGCCGCCCCTGCCCAACCGCTTTTGCTGCCCTGGCGCCACGGGGGTCCTCCTCCTCCTCCTCCTCCTCCTCCTCCTCCTCCTCCTCCTCTTCTCCCTTCTCCTCCTCCTCCTCCACCTCCTCCTCCTCTTCTCCCTTCTCCTCCTCCTCCGCCACCTCCTCCTCCTCCTCATCCTCCTCCCGCCGGACCCTGCAGGATCCTGCAGGGCCAGGGGTGCCCTGGCCCGGGCTTCAAGCGCGCAGGATCCTGCAGGAGCCTGCAGGAGCCTGCAGGGCCTGACTGGCCCGGGCCTGCATCGGCCCTGATCAGGAGGACCCCGAGCAGCGGGGGGCGGGGGGCGACAAGCGGGGGGGGGGTGCAGTGTTGCAGGGACGGGGCCTTGATTACAGGGGCCCCGAGGGAGCACGCAAAGGGGCACCTTGTTCTCTACCGCCCGCTTCTTGCCCCCCTCGTGAGCAGCGCCCGAGAGAGCCAGGTGCCAGCTGCACGCAGCTGATTCTCCCGACGCCCCCTTGGGGGGTCTTGGGCGCCGCGTAATGGGGGGGTCATAAATGGGGGGGCGGCGAGGGTGGTCCGAAAAGGTACCCAAACGGTACCTAAACGAGCCCCCCTGGTGCTCTGGAGGGGCCCGAAAGGGGCACGAAATGAGACCTTTTCTGACCCCCCATTTGTGACCCCCCCATGAAGCCACGCCCAAGGGTCGATCTGGGATTCGGGCCGTTCTCCGAGGACGTCTCCGGCGATGTACTTTCGAGGTCTTTGGGATTCCGAAGTCGCCGCACGGTCCGTCACCCCGAACCGCTTTTTGGGACCCCCGAAGCGGCGGCGAGCCCAGGGAGGGAGAGGGAGGAGGAGGAGGAGGAGGAGGAGGAGGAGGAGGAGGAGGAGGAGGAGGAGGAGGGGAGGGGAGAGGGGGCAGACATTCTCAGAGGGCGGCGGGGCTTCTCAGAGGCCCTCGCGCCTTCCCAGGAGTGGTCTGCGGGGAAGGCTCGGAAGACTTCTCGGCAGGCCGAGGCCTCCCGAGCCCTCCGAAAAGGCCCGCCCCCTCTGCATCCCCCGCTTGGGCTCGCCGCCGACCACGGTTGATCCGCTGACTGTCCCCCTGTGCTATCCCAGGGCTCGACCTCAACTCGGCGGCGCGCCCGGGGGGGAAGTTAGAAGGGGCGGGCCTTCTCAGAAGGTTCGGAAGTCCTCCAGCCTTCTGAGAAGGTTTCCAACATAGAAAACCTTCTCAGAAGGCGCGAGGGCTTTTGGGAAGTCCCGCCGCCCTCTGAGAGGGCCGTCTCCTTCTCACTGCCACCCCTCGCTCGCCGGCGATAAACGGTGTTTCAGAGATCTCGTGGACCGCCTTCGCTTTGATCTCGGTCTGCAGCAAAAGAGGTGGGACGAGGACAGATCGAAGGGGAAACGAAGACAGAACGAACACCGAAATCACTGCTCAGGTCGAACCGTGCGCGACAGTTGAAGCCCATGCCAAGGAAACACCCTGCTTGCCTCCAGGGCGCCCTGCGGTCTTTGGGTTTCGATGGTGCTGCTGTGGAAGGCGCGACTCTCCCACGCCAAGAGTCGAAGGACACCCTGGGGTCTCGGGGGTGGGGTGGGTTTCTCGCGGAAGGCTTTTTCCGGCCGCGAGCGAGGGGGGGAAGTGAGAAGGAGGGGGAGCAGGCCTCCTCAGCAGGTTCGGATGTCCCCCAGCCTTCTCCGAAGTTTCCTGCGCCTTCCCCGAAGACAGACAAGCACTTCTCGGAATGTGCGGGGAGCTCTTGAGAAGCCCCGCCGCCTCAGAGAAGGCCTCTTCCTTCTCGTTTTCCCCCCTCGCTCGCCGCCAATTCTTGGGGAAATCGGAGGGTACCAAGACCGCTCCTCCCCAGACCCCTCCCGAGGTGCGTTCTGACCAGGATGTCGATGGCCTCCCCGGCGGCCGAAAAGAAGGGAAAGCGTGAGAAGGGTAGTGGTAGGGGCGCCTTTTTTCCTCTGCTGAGTCTTGTGGAAGGTTTTTTTGTGCTAGGGGAACGAAGAATGGCATAAACATAACATGAATATTCGGAGGTCCGCGCGGATTTCTCGGATCCGCGCCAGACCTACTTCCTTGCCGCGCCGAGCGCGCCAGGGGGCGGCGCCGGAGGCGCCGCCAGGGTGGTGCAGCGCGGAGCCGAGAAATCCGCGCGGACCTCCGAGTTGTTATGTTCATGTCATTCTTCGTTTCCCTAATACGAGAAACCTTCCACAAGAATCAGAAGAGGGAAAAAGGTGCCCCTACCGCTACCCTTCCCACGTTTTCACTTCTTTTCGGCCGCCTGGGAGGCCCTCGAAATTCACGCGGACCTCCGAGTTGTTATGTTTATGTCATTATTTGTTTCCCCATGTATCACCCCCGCATCGCCGATGCATCGGCGTTGCGGCTCAAGGTGGAGCCCGCGTTTCTCCACGCCGACGCCGCCGATGCATCGCCGTTGCATCGTCGATGCATCGATGATGCATCGGAGGTGCGGTGTGATCCTCCGGCCCCATCTACTCCGACCCCATCTAGGAGGCCTCTACAGTCGGCCCGGATTAGTAGGTCGACCCTGCCAAATCAAGGGAACCCTTGTGTCTTGTGCCTCGCGACCCGTGCCTCCTTGCCTGGCTGTGGCAGTGTGGCCCTCGGAACCTCGGAAGGGTCTCGTGTCCTCTTGCGTGTCCTGTCCAATCAAGTCCGCCTGCACATCTCCCAGACTGTGACGGAGGTGAGTCCTTCCAGAGCGCTCTGAAACGGCCGCGGCGCCCGATAGTCACACCGCCTCTGGACCGGCCGGTTCCGAGGTCTCGAGGTATTCCTCTGCCGGGCGCGGTCTGGTTCCTTCAGGAGGGAAGGAAGCACACAGACACAACCAATCGTCGATCCCCCCAGAAAATCCCCCCGCCCTCGTCCGGCCCGCGCCCTCCGGGGCCACTCCAGCGAGCCGCCCCCCACCACCGGGGTCCTGCGCGAGGTGGCCAGCCTCCGCTGCGGCCCCCGGGAGGGCCAGGGCTGGGCGGTGGCCTCTCGGGCCGCCCAAAGCCGCAGCCCGCCGCCGCCGCCGCCGCCGCCGCCGCCGCCGTCGTCGTCGTCGTCGTCGTCGTCGTCGTCGTCGTCGTCGTCGTCGTCGTCGTCGTCGCCGTCGCCGTCGCCGTCGCCGTCGTCGTCATCGTCGTGGTCTTTTCCGCGTCGTCGTCGTCGTCGTCGTCGTCGTCGTGGTCTTTTTCTTTCGTCGTCGTCGTCGTCGGTTGTCGTCGTCGCCCGTCGTCCCTCCCGCCCCCCGTTTTCCCCCGTCGGGGGGGGGGCCTGCCGGGAGGCCCTCGTCGCCACCGCGGGGTTCGCCCCAATGGCCCAATGGCCCGGTGGCAGCGCACCCCGGGAGAGGTCCGCGGAGCAGCGGTCTCGGCGGCCCGTGGCGTTCCCCGAGGTCCGAGCGGTTTTTTTTGTTGCCTGCCCAGCCCCTGCAGTGGAGGCCCACGCCAGGGAGCACCCTGCTTGGAGCCTGTTTTTTTTGGATTCAGGCAAGTTTACTTGCATGGCGTTCGCCCGCCCCCCCCCCCCCCCTCGCCCCTCTTCAAGCGAGCACTAGCGTGCAAGTGCCTTTCGACTTGCGTGATGTCCGCGCCCCCCCGAACGTGCAAGTCGTTTGCGGCTTGCTTCAGGCTCAGCCCCCCCCCCCGTCCATGCAAGTAAACTTGCCAGAGTCTCTAAAAAAAACAGGCTCCTGCCTCCAGGGTGCCCCCTGGGTGTCTTGGGTTTCGATGGCTCTGCTGTGGACAGCGCGACGCTCTCACACCAGAGGTCAGTGGACGTCCTGTGGTCTCAGGGTTGGGTTTCCTGTGGGAGGCTTCTTGTGGACTGGCCCCCGCTGTACTGCTCGAAGAAGAAGAGGCGGACTAGCACGTGCTGTTTGCAAAGCGGCAGGCGGCATGGCCATTTTGACACCGCTCTTGACCCGCGAAGCTTCCTGGCGGTATTTTGTCCGCAGCGTACAGTCGAGGCTGATTAGTAGGTCGACCCTTCCAAATCAAGGGTGCCCTTGTGTCCTGTGCCTCGTGATCCATGCTTCTACATTAATGTGGCGATGCGGCCCTCGGAAGAGTCGTGTGTCCTCTCGCGTGTCCTCTTCAATCCACCCCGACTGTAGCCCGACTGTAGCCCGATGGTGTTGTCGTTATTTCAGGTGTTCCCATCCTGCGTCCTGCGCACCTCCGGCCTTGTGCGACTTCTCGCGCTTTCTTCGGAGGTCCAGCGCGGAGTTCTCGCGTCGGCGCTGCACCCCTCTGCATGGCGCGCGGAGCGCGCCGGGGGCCCCTGACGGAGACGCCGCCAGGGCAGCCCAGCGCCAGTCCAGGGAGAAGTCCGGCGGGCCTCCCAAAATTGATATCTCTGCAGCTGCTTCTTCTTCTACTTCTTCTTCCAACCACACCCCCCTTCTTTGCAGCTGGTTCTTCTTCTTCTTCTTCTAACCACGCCCCCTCTCAGACAGCGGCGTCTCCAGGGAAATCGGGGCGGTCGGCCATGCTTTTGGCCTCTGGAGGCCGAGTTCGGGCATCGCGGATGTCAAGAAACGACTGGGGGTGAGAAGCCGGCCTTGGGGGTGGTGCAGCGGTCCAGGGGCCCACGCATCGAAGTAACCGAAGTGCCAGATGTTTGGGCTCGCGTCGCGAGTAACCTCATGAAGCAATTAAGAACCCCCCCCTCCCCCCTCTATTTTGGCACAGTTGGGGGCTTCCTTGGGCAGTCCTAGGGCCATCCAGGCCGTCTAGAGGCTCTCTTGGGGGTCTCTTGGGCTATCTTGGGGCGAAACTGGAGGCCTGGTTGGCTGTTTTGGACGCTGCTGAGACCTGAACAGCGAATGTGCTGAAAATGCACGTTTTCCTAAGGGAATGCAGCGATGCTTGAGCTCTGGGAGCCTTGCTGAGGGCCTCTGGAGGCCATCTGGGTTCTTCTTGGAGCACTCTTGTGCTGTCTTGGGTCTCTCTTCGGCCTCTCTGATCACAGCTCTGATCGCTTGGGGCCTGCTGGCAGGACCCGGCTGAGCGCCCTCGGAAGTCCGGGACGAGCCCTGGGACCTTAGGCAAGGATGACCAGGGGCCAAGAAGCCCGCGATTCTTGGGGTCCGTTTTTTTGGCGGGGAGGGAGGGTTTTTCCCGACCCCCCCCCCCCAGCTTGTAAAAGTAGAATGCACATGTGTATCTATATATATATATATAAGTGTGAGAGAGAGAGAGAGAGAGAGAGAGACAAATCGTTGTTGTGCATCCTGGCCTCGCCGATCCGACCCGATCTCGATCCCGTGCCGGCGCGGTCTGATCCGGCGCACCGTCCGATTCGATGCGGCTTACCGGTTTCATGAGGGTCGATCTTGCCTTGCCGGGGTCGTGGCCTCCTTCCGCACAGGAAGGACGGGCACCCTTCCCAAGGGCTCCCTTGCCTCCTCGCCTCCCCAGTCCATCCTTGGCCGCTCTCGCTGGCGCGGGCCCGCTCGCAGGGTGTCGACACGACCTTCCGGGGCCCCTTGCATCCTTGTCGCGCACCCTGATGGTACGGGCCGGCTGTGTGGCACGTCTCCGCGATCCTGTCGCGACGTGCCAGACGCGACTCGGGAGGAGATTCCGGGGCTCCTTCCCAGAGGCTCTTTTTCGTTTAAAAAAAGCAACAAGTTAATTTTACTTAAGAGAAAAACAACTTCACTATTGAAAAGCGAAAACCATCATGAAAAACGAAAATCATGTTGAAAAACAACTAACAATGTTGAAACACGCACATGCTATCATGTTATATCAATCGTGGCGGAACGCGTGAGTCACGATGGATAAGGCGAAGGAGGCGGAGGCGGAAGAAGAAGGAGGAGGAGAAGGAGGCGGAGGCGGAAGAAGAAGAAGAAGAAGAGGGAGAGGAAAAGAGGGGCAGCGGGCCGAGGAGGGGGCGCCCCCCCCGCGGGCGGTCGCCGTCGTGGCCGTTGGCGCCCCCCTCGCCGTGGCCGCCGTCGCCGCCGAGCAGTCGTTTCCTCCTCCTCCTCCTCCTCCTCCTTCCTCCTCCTCCTCCTCCTCCTCCGCCTCCTCCTTGTCCTCCTCCCCCTCCTTCTCCTCCTCCTCGTCCTCCTCCGCCTCCTCCTCCTCCTCCTCCTCCTACTCCTCGTCCTCCTCCACCTCCACCTCATTCTCCTTCTCCTCCTCCTTCTCCTCCTCCTCCTCATCCCCCTCCTCCTCCTCCTCCTCCGCCGTGCCCCTCCAACGTATTTTCAAAGTTGCCATCAGATTCAATCGTCATCGCCTCCTCCTCCTCCTGCTCCTCCTCTTCCTCCTCCTCCTCCTCCACGAATCGCCATCCTGGCCACAGTAATCGTGCTCGTCCTCTTACCCGTCGTCGTCTTCGTCGACGTCTTCGTCGTCGTCGGCGTCGGCGTCGGCGACGTCGTCGTCGTCCTCGACGTTGTCGTCGTCATCGACGTCGTCGTCAACTTCGTCATCAGCACTGTCACATCCTCGAGATCCCCTTCCTCGCCCTCGTCATTCTTGATAGCTAGCGCTCCACATCCTCGGGCCTCATTTGTTGTCATCGTCTTGTCTAACTTCCTCCTCTTCCAACTCCTCCTCTCCAGCATCTGTTCATAAGTATTCAGTGGTTGCGCACACCACCGCACGCCGCCAAAGGGGCCTGATCTCCACGCTCTGTCAGCTCATCCTTCTCCTCCTCCTCTTCCTCCTCGTCCTCCTCCTCCTCCTCCTCCTCATTATCATCATCAGTATTAACAACATCATCATCGTCATAATCCTTCCCATTCTCTTTCGCTTCCTTCTCCTCGTCCTCCCTCCTCCTCTTACTGTTCCTCCTTGTTGTGTTTCTTCCTGAGAGGGCGCCAAGGGTCACCCTCAAACGGGGCTAATTTTAGGGTGATTTCTTATTGCTGCTCCTCCTCCTCCTCCTCCTCCTCCTCCTCTTCCCCCCCCCCTCCTCCTCCTCCTCGTCCTCCCTCACCTCCTCCTCCTCCTCCACCTCCTTCTCCTCCTCCGCCCTCTCCTCCTCCTCCTACTCCTCCTCCTCCTCCTCATCATCAGTGGCAGGTTTAGCTCAAAGCTGATCCGCTCAGGCTCAATGCTGAGAGGCTCAATGCGTACACATGCTCTGCGAGTCCTCCGCCTCCTCATCAGCCCGTCCAATGACGAGCTAGACTATTCGCACAATCCTAGACCAACTGCTCTCACAATGTCATGGTGGGGTCTCAGGCTGCCTGGATCCGCTAGCGTCGGCGTCGCCATATGGATTCTCGTCTGCTGGCTGCTCGAGACCGAACGGCGTGGCCCATGACGCCGACGGGAGGCTGTCCTCGACCATGATTGGCTCCATCTGTCGCTGAGTATGTTGCAATAGACTGCGACCGAGCACGTGGGGATCCCAACCACGATTCTCACGATCGCTGCCAGCTCCCGCATCATCACGTTGACGTTTGCGGCTGGTATCCTCGCCATCCAGGGGGCCTGAAGCTGGAACTGCTGACGAGCCTGAAGCTGGATCTGCTGGTGGGCCTGAAGCTGGAACTGCTGGTGGGCCTGAAGCTGGAACTGATGGGCCTGAAGCTGGAACTGCTGGAACTGCTGGGCCTGAAGCTGCAACTTGCACCCGTGGGCCTGACGCTGAGATTGCTGCTTCTGCTGGCGTCGGGTCCCCGCGTCGAAGCACAACATCGACTGGGAGCATCATAGTGAACACTGCATTGTCCAATTGCTCAGGCAACGTGGGCTCGAACAACTCGAGTGATAGTTTGGGTCCAGGTCTGGATGCCGACATCGGAATCAACACGAATGGTTTCTGGTACCATGCAGATATGGAAATGTGCCATGCAACGCTTGAGCCAAAAACGGCCACGGAAATTCTTGCCGTGCATCGGCGATTCCACTCGCAGTGTAGCCTCGAGAGATTGTATCGTCACGATGTTTTTGTTGTCTAACCTGGAGTGTTCTATCACGGCCGCACGCCGCGCCCCACAAAAAGTGGATCACGTGCTGACGCTGG